CCCCAAAACCCCAAAACCCCAAAACCCCTAATTATCATTAAATAATTGAAAACTGTGAGTTTTATTCTCGCACAATTGCTTCATATTTGAAGGTATGCCAGTTAATCCCGTTTGGTAAGAAATACCAGACGATGAATAACATGATATTTCTCAGCAAGTATATTATTCCAACAAATCCTCATATCATCATTGATAAATCATAAAAATCTAAGCCATATTCGTCTGCGTTCAGGAGCAAATATATTTGTAGCCCTGTGATTCTCATTTCGTCTCGAACATTCCTAGGAACTCCTGAGTCCAATTGGTACTGGTAATTTACCTGGTATTGGAAATAGCCATTTCTTGTCTCTTGGTCCATCCATCTAGCTGCTACTCCTTTCTTGCAATCATCATCGTCTGTGTCCTCAATTCAGTTCCAATCAAGTTCAAGAAGTATGATTGCTCCATTACCTCTCACAGTGTCAAATTCTCGAATCCCTGAAATATTCAAGATGTCAGATACTTTAAACACGTTAGCTCCAGGATCTGGGTAATAGATCCTTTGATCAATCTCATCATCTGCACAGTAAACATGAAGCTTACGTTTTTCATCTCCTAGTTCGTCTCTTACCTGACCTTTGATAATAATGTTTTGGTTCAAAACACCTCTAAGGATGTGTTCTGTGTAGCTGTCTTCGCTAAAGCTTGGACACCAACTCATCATCATTCAAAATCCATCTTGACACTCTGCTGCTCCATATTGAGCTGTGATGTCCATATCAGAGCCACGAGTGGAGTAGAGATAATTCATTGCAAGTAATCAATCGCTAGTCGTGGTTCAGTTAATGGTCCTATCCTGGCATCTTCCTTGGGACTGATTTTCAACAACCCTTACCACTGTTGGTACAAAAATTTGTTGATAAGCATAACTTGGAACCTGCGTGTCTCGTATATCCCACAAGCGTATTGAACCATCATCATTTTCTGAGTAAACCCGCCCTTCAAGGAACCCTGTCACTCGAGTCTCAGGCTCTGTAGGCTCTCTATAATATGTCAAAATCATGGCTGCCAATATCGCTGCGGTTAGGAAATAAAACAGGAGGCCATATCTAGTCTGGCTCACGATTGCTTCTTTCTCCATTCTGAATCTTGGATCTAAAGCAAACAATGATCAAAGCATTAGGGAGGGATATACCTCAAAAGACTCTCCTGTTTCTGACTTCATCTTCATCAGAGTCTTCGTCTTCCGGGTCATCTACAGAGTTCTTGCATAATTTTACCATCATAGCCATCATCATTCAAAGGAATAGGCCTCTAATCTGGTTTAGACATAATTAATACCTTCTGGTTGTTGTTTAGATCGTCATCTGAATAAAATGGTTTTTCTATAGGTCATGTTAATAGTGAGGAAAAATATCGTTTCTTAAAGAATTGATATAAAGTAAGAGTTATAAAGGATAACTTGAAAGCAGAATTTGCTCTCTGAACACAGAAATATGATAAATAATATCTTTCGAAGTAACTTCAGGTATCAAACCAGATAACTAAAGTAAAACCAAGGCCTATTTCTGCCTCCTTTGTAGCTCCTAACGTACCAATGGTAATCGTGCTATCATTTTCAGATATTCGATGTCTTTTCCTTGATTTATCTCCGATATCACCACGATTGATTTGATCGAAACTATAGAGTAACTTTTAGCTTGCAAATATGAAAGCTGATTGAATCATTATATTTTACCCTAAAGGTTAAAATAAGGGATACCCTGGTCGTTTTGGCTAAAATTTTTACTCTCTTCTACGGAAGATGATTCAGAAGAATGCATTTTGAGGAATTATTGATAATTTTATTATTTAAGTTTTAAAGATTAGTCAGGGGTTTTGGGGTTTTGGGGTTTTGGGGG